CGGGTGACGCGGTTGCGCGGTCGAACACGCCCTCCGCCGCCACCGCAACACCGACACCGCGCACTCGCGAGACACTTGCGTCACTGCACCCTTTTGTTCATCGGACAGACGGGATAACCGCGCGGCACTCCGAACATCGCACTTTCCGAAGCGGCTGCGGTTACCACCGTCGCGCCACTGGCCCCGCCCACCCACCGCTGCTAATGACGTTTGCCGGATGGTTAAGAACCTCTGATCGTACACCTACCAGCAGTGGAGAGGCCACCTTGTCGCGAGCCAAGGGCGACGTTCCCCGGAAGTGGCCCGTAAGCGAGCCACGTGCGCGACCGACGATTCTTAACCCTCAAAGCGCAATACTGACTTTCCGATTTTCTTCGGATCATGCACACGCTTGTTGATATTTTATAATACTTTTCAACTTCGTTTGGTTTTATGGATAAGGGAATGGTTCAAGTTTTAGAACATGGAGTTTGAGGTGACAGATATTTTTAGGTTGGAAACAACCAAAGGTAAAATAAGGACCAGAAATTTTTGAATTATCCACTCATTCATAACGCAACTCTGAGAATTTAAGGAGTTGCAAAGATTTAGAATCCTGAAGTTCTAGAATTCTAAAATTTCAAAGAAGTTCGAAAGTCTTGTCGGTCTTAAAGTTCACAAGTTCTGAAAAGTTCGAAGTTCTGAAATTTTTAAATTGCAAAAGTTTGATGTACTAAAATCCTTGAAGTTTCAAATTTAAAAAATTGCTATCTGTAGATGAGACAGGGACCTATTTCACTATTAATCAGCTCCTTATTTTTCGCAAATGACATCTTTAAAGCCGTACACATCATCGAATATTTCATAATGCGCAATTGGTAAGTAGAAAGCCGGAAACGATGGTGCTAGAAATAACATATTTCTGTTTGTTTCGCGAAACGAGAAGAAGGGTTCCTCTCATGGATATTCATAGACTGCGACTTTTTCTGTTACTCAATCATTGATTGATCGTCGATTTATCTCACGCAACGTCTTTGTGCAATTACGCCAGAGAATGCGCGACACGTAATAAAATAGCCGAGAAATCGATGCGATGCGCGACACAGGTAGCCAGTAAAAACGCGTCAAATACGAGTGAAAATAACACGTGCATTGCTTCGTATTTATATGGTAAAATGGAGAAATATGTGCATGTAATTAATTTCATTATTTATATGACTATGTTTTCTCAATCTAGCACTATTCGATTATTTCACTGTTTTACTATTTTAGTATTTTGCAATTTAACTAATTTGTTATTTTGCTACTTTGTTTTTTTCTTTTTCTACCATTTTATTATTCCACTGCTACATTTTACCATTTTACTATATTACTCTGTTACGAATTTAAAATTTCATATTTTACTATTCCATTATTCTATTATTTCACTGTTCCATTATTTTAATGTTCTACTCTATCTCTATTATTTCAATACATCACCGTACTGCATTATTTTTTCCCAAATTATAAAGCAAGTTTGGAATCGATCATGCAAATGAAATAAGTAAAATTCCTATTTGAATAAATAATGAATAAATTCCTTATTCATTCTTCTCGGAACTCTAATTATTAGAAACACCGTTTACCTCAGGTAACTCTTACACGCGCTTTACACAATTATAGCCCAGCAGATAAATGCATTAGGCCCCATAAGCAATTAGCTTCGCGTTTTCCTCTGCCGACGATTCAGCTCTGCACCTACTAATCCAGCACATCAGAAGTACCGTGCAACGAGCGTTTCCAAGAAAGTGCAGTCTCCCTTATTTCGCTTAATAGCAAGTTCCATTGTTCCCAAGCGAAGGAAGAGGCCTCCGATCGTTTAAGGGCTTACCAACCGGGAATTAATTCATCGAACATCCAATCAGTGTTGGCAGGTAAGTTAGACGGGGAAAAGTATCGGCTACCGTGTGTGTGGACGAGAAAGAAATCGTGGCGAAGAGTCTGGTGGGTGCAACGAGCGAGCAAGCAAACGGCCCCGGTACTTAGCATGCATCCCCCGATACGAAGGATTCCTTATTGTATCGTTGCACGTGAGCGTAATGCACAAATATGAACTTAGCTGCGGGCTCGTTCCTCGTCGAGACTCTCCTTCGTTCGGTGATAACTCCCGTCCTCATAATCATACATATGGATGTCCCGTGTTCGTTGGCTGCTCGTCTCGTTGCCCGGCCACCGTTCTCTCTGTGTGTTTACGCGCGCCGAGAACAATACCGACGAGCTGGCATTTTGTGATTGTCTTTGTGGGGACGACGCTCGACCGGTAACGAGACGAAACGGAACGATTTCTAGGCAGCACATCGTGCCACCTCGTCTGATCGGCTCTTCTGCTCGCTGTTAATCGGTATGCAAGCGCGGAGCGGGCAAACAGGGGCTGTTTCGTTCAGGAAGCAGCGCTTTCCAGGAAGAACGCGGCTTTCTAAATTCTTGATTGTCTACGTGGCCGACGCCAAGCCGGGCCAATTAATTGCCGCTCTGGCATCGGCCGTCGCGTCTTTGAACGGCGGCCATATTCACTACTCTACTGTAAAGATATGTTATCATGTAAAATTAGGTAATGAATTCTTAAGGCGAAAGAATTTTAATAATTCAATTGTGAGGTGAATAATTGGGTAAATGAAGGTTCCACTCCTATTGGTATAATCTTGATTGCAGGACGTAATGAATGCGTGCTCTGTTTTTATAGCCTTCAATCTAGTTTTAATTGCACGTGCTAATATTATACGTTTAAACTGTTATAAATATTGCATTGATTATTTTAAAATAACTAATCATAAAATTTCCATGCGACATACATGCTGTAATTGTTAGTCTTACTTAGACACATCAGATCTCCGAGCATTGTATAATGAAATCACTCAGGTACAATTACAGTGAGAATAGAAAGGAGAATGAAATACGAATGCGAAGAACACTTGTAATCGCTAATTATCGATCAAACGCATCGAAGATTATCTAAACTCCCATAGCAAACCACTATCGCCTTCTTGTAGGTAACCGCTGTTCGATCAAATAGCCACCTATCGACCTAACCCCTGTTCGGTTTATCGAACGGAGACCCGTTGAACCCGGTAGCTTCTTGAATCGGATATCACTTTTATGTGTATAAACGATCTTTATCTAACCCTTTCGAGGATCATGCATCAGCGCGGACATAAACGTCGTCCGGGGGATAAAGAAGGGCCCCATAAAATCCGCCCTCGCGGACGCGATAAGAGTTATCTCTATTCTCTAATTGAAAGTTAATTGGTCCAGCGGTTTAGTCTCGCTGAGGCAGACCGTTTTGCCCGGCGCGACGGTAACCCCAGCCTAGGGCGGCAATTTAGTAAACGGCGTAGCTACAATAATGAGACCCTATCTTATGGTGTTCCCAGCGACACCGTGACGCACCGAAACCTTCGCGCCTCGCCTCGCCTCGCCACTTCTCGTCTTGCCACACGTATTACCTACTGTGTTACGTGCCACGCCGAGTCCTCCCACGTGCTCGTAATAAACCGGCCCTCTTCCTTCGCGTAATCGAGAATTTCCGACAAACACGTACCGCGGGCTGCGGTGTACCGGCATCATCAGAGAGATTGCGATCGGGCCATCGGAACAAGTGCTTCCCATGCTCCGTGCACGTGTCCTTTCTCCAGATGCGCGCGATTCTTCCTGCTCGATATCGAAATTTCTTCATGGCGAAAATTTTGAAAATCGATCGATGAACTAAGTCGGAGGAAGAGGTTATGATCTTAGTCTATAGTTCCACAAAATCAGCTCTGAGAGGAAGCGAGTCATTTAGGCGAAAAATATATTAATCGATTTATGTGTATTTACGGCAAGGGATGATATGTTGTAGCTGACACATT